AGGTCGCTGAGGTTGGACGTGGGTGGGACGAGGAACTTGACCGGCTCGGAGGCGTTGGAGAAGGTGCCGTCGCGGCGGCCGGACGGCACCTCGAAGTCCACCTTGCCGGCGCTGAGGATGCAGGACGCGTCGCGGGCCGAGAAAGCGATGATGTCGGCGCAGGAGACGACGCCCGGGCAGGCCGCCTCGAGGGCGTCCTTGATGGCGTCGATCAGCTCGAAGCCGCGCAGGGAGGGATTGTTGGGCGCGCTGAGCTTCTCAGGCGTTGGGCTGAACGGGGTCGGGTCCAGGAGGACCGAAGCGTCACAGCCCTAAGGTGGTCACCGACGAGACAACAAAATTAATCAATTATAAAAGTAAACATACATGTTTGCAATGCAATTTATTTCTTCCGGTGAGTGGCTAGTGTGTACCTCGACGAAGCAGTCGTGGAAGAGCATGCGGATCATGGCAGCGCCATTGCCGGGGTTCTGGGAGATGGCGTCCATCATGACGCCCTTGACGATGGCCTCCGCCTGGGGGCACCTGTCGTGGTAGAACCCAATCTGCAGAGGGCTAGCCTGGCACCCCACGGCGAGCAGCAGCAAAGAACACGCCACCAGAAGGTACAGCTTCTCATCACCAGCAGCCGCCATTGTTTCAAGGTAGCTAGCTAGCTAGCTCGAGTTCTTGAGTCGTGACTAAGATAAAAGAGAGAGAGGAGGGAGGTGAGTGATCAGTGCGCGGAGAGTGCCTGCTGCTGTAGTTCCAGCAGGAAGCCACTTATATAGGCGAGCATTCCTAGCTAGCCCTTATTGGCAATGATTTTTTGTTGGATCTTTTTGCTTCGTTGGAAGGTTACTACACCGGCCGGTAGTTGCCCCGTTCGTCGTTCAATTGGCTCACTCAGCTCCTGACAACCCAGTGGCACCGAAAAACAATCTCACAGGGCGTCGGTGATGACACGATGATACACAAATAAGGAGTAACAAACAGTAGTTCACTGACCCTGATTTTTTTAGAAAATGGGCTCACTAACCGGTCATGCGGCCGGTTGACTTTATCGGCTGATGTACATATGCATGAACCAGTCATGTGTAAGCTGGACCGGAGCTGAGTATTTTGTAGTAATGGTAGCTAGATCAAGCAGCTGATTGACGGGGACGTATGTTTCCCGGCCGTTGAGAAGTCGTGTTAATTAAGATCGTTTCATTTCTGTCGGTGTGTGTGCTTCGAGTTCGTGTTTCAAATCCGTAGTGACAGAAATTTCCTGCGAGCATTAACTAATACAATTCCTTGGTAGTAACAGCCTAACAGGAGGAGGATCGATGTTATGATTTGTGGACGAAGTCAATATATTCAGTGCATGCAGAATACGCGAATTAACAGTGCAAAGAAATGAAAAAAGTATGAGTGCATACATATGTCTCAGATTCAGTGCATGAAGGCTTATTTGAAACGTAAACACTTGCGAACGTACCGAAAAGCTAATATCAATTCACCAGCAAAGAAGGTTTCCTGTATGTGTTGTTGGCTGAAACTGCTGAATCCAAATCCTGAGTGATGGGCTCTGCATCATATTATCTTTTTCAAAGGATTTCTCAACAAGTCATGATATGATTCCTCATAGTATCTTGTATCCATCCAAAGATCTGCGATGTTTCCCTTCCATCTACGACACTCTTCTTCAACAACCTTTTCAAGAGAAAATTGTCCAGTTATTACGCCGCTTCTTTGTGAGATTGCCAGGTACTCCATAATTCCTTGAACAACAACATGTCTGGGGCAGCCATGTCCTTTGAAAACCAGCTCCTTAAATCTGTCTATAAGTGATACAAAACATGGCTTGCCCCAGTCGATAGAATCGTTATCGACGTCGAAAAAGCCTTCCTCCTCTAGCTTGTTCATCTTTTTTTGGATGCTGACATTCAGCTCCTTGTTCGCGAGGATGTCTCTCAAGTTCTCAGAGTAAGTATCTATTTGACGTTGTGTATCCACAATCGGACCTCGGTCCTCCAAAGATAATTTCATGAGCTTATGGTCGAGCTTCCCAAACCGACTTTTCACAACGTGTTTCTCAGCAAATTGCAGAACAGACTTATCCTGTGAAGAATTGAACTTATAGACATCATCGTCTAGTTCCCCAGAGGCCAAATATTGGTCAAACTCTTGATGCAGACGGACATGTTCTCTTGCCTCAAAATACTTGCACTCTATCTTCATTATATAGATGTATGAACATGCATAAGGCTACAAATAGACAGGAAAATCATTGAATTCCGGCTCAAGAGGCTTGCACGAATTGGCCTCTTGTGCAAAATTAAACTGATGAGCTACCTTTATAAGGAAGTCCTTTTGACCCTCCCTTATTAGAGGATGAAACTTAGGTTCCAAGTAGTACAATATGACATTATAAAAAGTAGCAATCGCATCTTTCACGTCCAATGGAGAAAGCTTTGCATCAATCGGCAAGTCTTCCATAAACCGAGCCATGGCACTATGACGTTTATTAGAGTCTGTAATGTAATGTTTCGAGGAAATGAGTTTACAAAGCCATTCGTCCATTTGACGGGAATGCATCTCAGACCATGCTGCGGGTAATTTTCGATGCACCATATTGCATATAATCCTAACATGACCATCCAGACTGTTGCTAATGCCATGTTCTAATCTAAATTCAGGCCTCAGTTTCTCAAAAAGCGTAGACTGGCATGGATATTCATACTCTGGACAATCCATTGCATCAGCTTCATACAATATGTCAACATAGATAGGGAGGTACCTTTGAAATTCGTCTTCAAGCTCCCAATTCCACAAATTGACAGGAAAATCCTCTGGAATAGGACAAGATGATTTCACCAGAAGTTCTTGATTTTGCCTTGAAAACCAATTTTTAAACCGGTCTCCTGTGTTCTCACGGTCTGGGCCTTCAGCAGTGAAATCCGGATTTTGTATAAAAACTTTATAAATCTCTTCACATAGGACCCAAAGATCTTCGGTAGCCTTTTTGCTCTTGCTTGGGTTCAGATGGCAACTTAACTTTCTGATTGTCTGCTGAACCGCACATGGAAGATCGTCACAAAGGCGCTTAATTGTAGCTGGAAGCATAGCATCTACGATAAACTGTCTGAGTTTCACATGTTTTGTAGCGACCGCAACTTGGACCAAAGCATGACAGAAGGGAAGAACGTCCATCGTTGCTTCACCGTCAACCCATGACCCAAAAAGGTTCATGTTTAACATTCTCATAAACCAATCATCAAGTATAGTATATCCAACCACAGAGTTAGTTGCTGCACACTTCGAATCACACAATGAAGCGGTCTTCACCGTACTGCCAGGTAGCAAGTCCAAACACATAAGCGCATCATTTGGTTCCACAGATGCTAGAACCCCAAGCAACTTGGAGACTTTGCGAGTCATGTCAAGCAGTAGGCAACCTTGTAACTTCTTTACTCTTTCCTCTGACCCACCAAGATAGCCGAAGGAGTGAGCTAAATAAAGGCGGTCATGACCCTGGCCTTCATTTAGAAGATTGAGCCACGCGCCAGAAAGTGCGTACCCACATTCAGTGAGCAAGGGTAGTAAGAGCTTCAAAATCCATTCTCCCAACAGCTCACGAGGGTAGCACCTGACCAACGGAAGAACGAAAAGGTCAATGAGCTTGCTAACATGCCGGAATTCCATACAATACAATTTCTCCTTGATAGCATCGCTAACTGATGAAATGTCTAACAGCTTACAGGACGGTCCCTCGATGGCCGCATATTGAGCGTACAATTTCATAAATATTGAGCATACAGTTTCAACTTCAACTTAAACGTGAGATTGTCTTGCTGTCAAGTTGTGTTCAGTTCTTTCCATGTAGAACTTACTAGAAATTCTTGCATACATCCTAAACAAATAAAGAGTTGCATGCATTTAAATTAAGCAGTTCCGAAGAAAGAATTATTTCAAGTTATTTTGTTTGGAGATGAGTTTCCTTTTCTACACCTTTGTGTAAAGGATGGAGCCTCCACAATGCCTATGAGCCATGCTTTTTCCCACCCAGTAAAGTGGTCTATTTTCAAGTGGCATCATATGGCGAAGGAGGGGATCCGGATCAAGAGCCGTAATGGTGCTTGTGATGGCATGTCTAGCACTTGCGCGACCCTGGAGTCTGGCATCTTCTTGCAAGTAAGCTCCTTTTGCTCTTCTATGCCCCCCACCTCTCTGGTGAGGATCTCTGGTTGGATTTGGGTAACTAGACCCCAAGAGATGTAATCCTATTTGGATATGAACTGTGTATGCTAGCTTGATTTAGTTTATAGGAGTAGATTTTATAGATGAACTGTGTGTGCTAGCTTGATGGTGATACATGCCATATCTCTGGATTGACTCCATGGGGTATCCATTAACGTCTGAGGTTCCATAAGGAAATGAGTTTCTTGCATTCTCATGTTAAAAAGAATTAAAGAAACATAGCAGAATATGATATCAAAGTTTTTAGTTCTTATCGGGTTCGTCCACCTATAAATTCTGAAACAGGATATTCTTGAGAATGAGATGTAATTTTAGGAAATAGTTAGTTTTTAGTCTTTTATTTAGTGGCATTCATTTCTTTCTATACCATGACTAACATACTGAGATTCAGAAGATCCAAAACCTTTTATGAAAGGGCTTCTCTAACCAATAATAAGAACTTCATATATGCTTACTAAGGTTCTATATATACCCAGTCAGAAAATGTATTGCTTAGGCTACTTGTGCACTGAAAAATTATTAGATCCCTTGCTGCGTTAATACTGGCATCCAAAGTTTCTTCTATGTATATTATGTTCAATTTTTTTGTAAAATGCACAACTATCTTGAGCTTTAGTTTCTCTTTTCTCTTTATGTTGTATCACCTATATGAGGATATCTACTAACTTTAGATGCATATATAATGTATTTGATGACACACAGCAAACTACAGTAAGCAGTGTGTTGGGCTTGCAAGATTACATACACCGGTCTCTGTTTCCCTTTGCCGACGGAGTCTATCGACAAGAGCGACGGATCTGGAGATTGATCAAGAGGTACCCGCCCCTGCCTCTCGTCTTCGATTGTTTTTTGCTTTTGCTGTTGCTTACTTTCCTGCTTTCTTATCGTAGGTTACCCCCCACCGGTGCCATCTTTTGTCGACCTAACTGGCATCTCCTCGGCTGTTTGGAACCAGCGAATTAACTTACGCATCTCTAGGTTATGGTACCAGTGAGGTGGCTTTGATGATGCCCCTATCAAGAGTATACATATGGTCGTGACTGATGAAAAGGTGAATGCCTATTTTGTTCTCCAGTCTTTTGCGACTCATACGCTGCTTATGCAAGTCGTGATTGTTGTTTCTCTACATTGTTGTCTCTATAGGACATTTAAGGGCTTTCCTTAGTTGCCTGTGATTTGAGTAGGATAAATTATGTCTTTGTAATGTTGACAGCCTATATCTTTTGATGTTGTTCTCCAGGATTATAAGATGCTTGTTGGTTACTGAATGTGTTCTCTGCGTGTGTTTTTTCATAGGGAAACCATGCTAATGTGACATTGCCTAACGAGGTCATGGACATGTTTGTGGACGATCTACATGAGAGAAATTTATATGTATGTGCCACGATCAGTGTGAAGCCCCCTGAGGTAATACTGAGGGTGGTTTAGCTTTATTTGCGGTTATATATGCCTGTGAGCTGCAGAAACCATCATGTCCTGTAAGTTGTTTCTATGCCATGCTAATTACTTTATCATTCAATTCTTGAGGGTACTCAGCTTTTATTTCATGCCTAGATTCAATCAGTCATCCGTTAGCATTTCAGTTGTGTGAAACAGTTTTCATGCACCTATATGGTTTTCAACATCTCGACATATAGAAGAGACCTGATGGGAACTATCCATGTGCCTCCACACGCTTTGTATTGCATAATTTCGTTAGCTTCTATAGATGGTCTCGTGCATAAAACATTACCGCACCAACACCTGAGTAATTGTATTGGTTTCTGCTCAAGTATCATAATGCAATCTTGTCTTTGATTGTAAACCCTGGTTTGGTATTTTTAGTTGCACGTTTTAGTGAAAGAAAGAAAAAACAGTGTCAAAGTAGAATATATAAACTAGAAAGATTAGCAGCCATGTCTCGGTATAAATTTCATGCATAGTAGTCTGGCATAGCATGTACATAAACAGAGGACCGCACTACATAACCAGTTTTATCTGCAGTGATAAACAAACACTATCACTGAGAGCATTTTTCTTGTGGAAGTTCTCATTTGAGCTGACATGTTTCCTGATGCAAACTCATTCAACCACGTATAGCCTTCACAGCACATCATTTGGTTGATCTTTAGTTCTTGGGTTCTGCAGATGCAAAATGGAGCTGGCGACCAGCCCTTCTTCCTCACCCTCAGCCTTAACACCACCGTTGACGCCTCCAAGAGCAGTCGGGCATCGGCGTCGACGCCGGCAAGGCAACATGCGTTGCAACATGCAACCAAATCAAATGGAGTGTGGACAAAGTTATATATCAAGCAAATTGGACGAAGGTGTGTGGACAAAGTTATATATCTAATATTCAACCATGTAGTTTACTATTATGCAGTGTGAAAAACGCTGTACATCAGTTATCTGGGACTAATACTATGGCCCGATTTTGATTTCTACCACACCGAACCTTGCTTAGATAGGGCCATTTTTTAGATATTTTGCGGAGTGTTTACTGTTGTTAGTATCTACCATCACCTCTGTGAGTAATATCAGATATATTTCCATCCTGAGATACATTGAGTAATATCAGATGTTGATTGAAAAAGGGTTATATCAGATATTTGATCATTGAACTTTTTTTGATTAATTCCTTGATATATTTCCATCATGATAGACACTGTGGGAGTTGGGGTTCGGCAAGTAGCACTTCTTTGATTAAGTTGTTCTGTTACACGTGCAAAACTTGCCTTCCTACTACTGCATCATATCGGTTTGATCTTTCACTGTTTGATCATATCGGTTGGACCGGCATCCTTGCGCCAAGGCGCGTTGCCGATCTAGTTGTTAAATACTGTAACGTCACTAGTGGTTCTGTGGGCCTGGAGACGACATTGAGCTAGGCCCGGAGAAGAAGGCACTACAGAAGAAAACTCGTAACCTATTTGATTTCACATTACATTTTTTGATGTCATTATTGTGTAAATTTTTTTAGGGTAGAAAAAACTTAAATTGTA